ACGAAACTTTTAAGCAAAGCGATTTAAATAAATTTGAAGTAAGTATAACCTTAGAAAATCCTTTATTGTTTTATATTGTAATTAAAATTAATATTATAAAATTTAGGAGTCAATATATAAATGGTCTCAGAATTTTATTCGAATTTTTCAACAATTTTCTCCATCTGGGTTAAAACTTCCGAAACTACACTCATGGATTTATCATGTGATCGATTCAATTCAGAACTTTGGTGCAATTAATGGATATACTACAGAGACTTACGAAAGCCTTCATCGTGAATATGTTAAGGTTCCCTATCGGTTAAGTAATAAAAAAAATATTGAAGCCCAATTAATGCAAATAGTAAGTGTTTAATATTTGTAAATGCACAATCTTACGAAGTTTTTCCTATTGATTATATTTGTTTTAGATTCGACGTCAATCAATTGCAAAAATAACGTCTCAAAACCAATCAACAAATTTGGAAATAACTCCTCGTGCATTTAAATTTTCATCAAAGCTTTATGAATTTTCATTAATGAATGCACTTTCATTTTTTGAAGAAAAAAAAATAGAACCTAATATAGATGATAAAATGAAGACTGGGTTTGACCAGTTTTTAGCATGTATGGATTCATATTTAGATCTAATTAAAATATCTGAAATAGATATCGCTCAAATTAAGATAATAATATATGGATCAGTAACATTGGAAAATGGTGCAATAATGCGTGCAAATAATAGTTATCATCAAAACCCCTGGTTTAGTAATATTTCTGTTATTATGAATTCTGAAGAATTATTTGAATATTCATCTGATCAAGGTGTTTGTTATGGACAGGTATTTATTTAGTTTAAATATTTGATATATTTTTTTATTATTATACGTTATATAATAAATAATTTTAAATTTATTTAAGGTATTATTAATTGCAAAGATTGAAATAGAAAAGGGAAAACCTTCACTTAATCTAGCACTAATTCAATGGTATGACTTTAAGTCACAAAGTCAACCATATTGCTACGGATGTCCTCGATTACAAATTAAAGAATTATATAATTTTATAGAAATAGAAGCTATACAAGATATAGTGCATATAATACCACGTTTTAGAAGTAAAAATGAATTTTTTGTTAATAATTTTATTTTTTAATATAAATAAATTATTAATGTACACAAAATAATTGTATCGCTTATATTGCATATATATAAATCCCAATAATACTTAGTAATGACAAATTATATCACATAAAATTTTGTGACATTTTTTTGAAGATTACGCATGCAAAGCACTGAGCCCATAGTTTTGCGTAAATGTCACAGAATGTAAACATTCGAGGTACTTTGACCTGAAGTATTTTGCAAAAATTATGATTAGTAAATATTACGAAGTACTAAGACTGTAGTTTTTCGAAAATATAATGATTAGTAAATAATGTGAAGTATTACGCTCATAGTTTTTCGCAAATATACGATTAATAAATATTGCGAAGTATTACACCTGTAGTGTTTTGCAAATATTACGATTAATAAATAATGTGCAGTATTACGCTAAAAATGTAAATATTACGTAATCTTACCCCGTAAAATTTGTATAAGTTTACAACTTCTCCTAATGATATTCGTCATATGACTTACCTTAAATAATTTAAGTGTATTTTTATTCCTTTTTTTTTGATTGGTTCTAGTGTAAGACTCATATGTCCTATATGCCATTGTTAAGCGTATTTTATTTCTTAAATCGTAGGCATGTGCGACATAAATAAACATGTTTTCTTGCTTGTGCAACAAAATAATTTTCTTACATAAAAGCCCTGAATTTTTTTTTGTGCAGAATAGCGTTTCCGTAGCTAATAAAAATTTTTGAGTAAGTGAAATAAAATCCAAATCTGCATAATCCCCAATGCCTTTGTAAATCATGCCCTTAATCTCGAATAGAAAATTTTGGTGTTAGCATACGTTGTATAGTCTTCTGCTTAGCTCCCAATATCTTGAGAAAATGTAAATTATAAGGCATATAAAAGGGCAGTATAACGAAAATTAGGTTATTTATCACTTTATAGTGATTTATTTTGCTTTACGTGATATATACTATTAACATTTCATTATGTCTTCTTCTGAATATACAACAAAATTCGTGATTTTTTGCATAATTTACTTCAGATCATATTACCGCATTTTCTGTTATTTTTCAACTAATAGAATATGACACGTGGTATCTAAAAGATGATCTAAGAGAAATAATTCATGGTGTGATTAACAAGGTGAAAAACTTTTACCAACAAAGTTTAGAAAAGTATCTGAAACTTGTTGATATTCCTTTGAAGGTTAGTGATTATTATTTTATCAGATTTATATTCCCAAATGATGATAGCGCAGAAAGATATCCTATAGTCAAACTAAAGCGAGTACCCATAGCCATGTAGGCACAGGTTTAAATCAATTGCATTAATTCCTTAGACACACGGGGTAGAACTTGGTTCTGATTTGCGAAGAAAAAATATACCATTCATATACATTGTCAGTTGTATGCAGGTCACATATGATCGATAATTTACATGAAATATTCAGATGAGAGCGCACGCATATTTTCTATTATCAAAAATTTTAATATAAATACTAATATGAGATTTTTGCGCTAGTTTGATGATGCATATAAAGATGTAAGCAGTCTTCAAAGTATTCAAGAATCAAAACAAGAACTGCTTTCGAAGGATGAAATTGAGACAAACTTGCGCAAATTGAAAACTAATCTTAAAAAAAGCAAAGCTTCATATGCTAAACAGTTTTGTAAATATTTAAAGAAAAGTACTTTAGAATTATCATGGCGTATTCCAATTGCTAGTCAAATGATATGTACAGATTCAGAAATGGTGAGCACTTTAGAAGTTGATAGTTATAACAATTTTATGGTGAGTAATAAAATATGCCTTATTTAGTTGTAAAATTCTTTCAGCAAACTGGTATATATTATTATTTTGATATTATAGGAACCTTTAGAGCGTATGAAAGTAACTGCTCCAGCCCTTGTCAGGAACATGTGTAAAACCTTTGTTTTAAATTTCGAAGATAGCATTACAAATGTTCCAATAAATAGACTTATACACAATAAAAGCTGGAAAGAATCTGACGAAAAACTAGCAAAAGTTACGTCAGATATACTTGATGTCTTGTGAGTATTTCATGACAAAGCTTATAGGATAACGTAATATTATATTAATTTTTTTTTAATAAAATTCTGTTGTTTAACGATATTTTTATAGAAGAGATATTTGAAAAAATTCCGCTTTTGAAACAAAACTCGTTAAGTCACAAAGTGAAGGGACGTATATAGCTGATATAATTGTTCCATTAATTTGAGTATCGTTAAAAGATCTTCCGATTAGAAAATCTGATTATATTTCCACAGCTGAGCGTCAAAGTATGGCTAGTAAAGATCGAAGAGGAGTTGAAAAACGGCTAGATATTATGTTTATTGCTGGTTTTCATAATAGGACATATGAATTAATTTATGGTGAAAGTTCCCGTATCATTTGTAATAGACAAAAAAAGGAAGATGATCAGGTAAAAACTTGGAGAGAGATGAACGATGGAATGTATTGGGCTCACAAAGGATGCAAACTAGAAAAGGATAATTTTAGTATTATTGAAATCCAAGTTGCTGGAAATGAGATGCATCTAAATATCCTAATTCGAGATATAGATGATATACATCGTCTCTACAATTTACGAACTGTTGAAATTCCAATTCAACCAAATAATAAGGGAATTGTATTTAATTTTATTGAAACATTATTGACAATAAGGGTTTGTGAACAGTAAATCTCATTCAAATTTTATTTTACTTGTTAAAAATTAACGTATTTTTATAATTACAGAATATATTGCACGTCAATCTATCATTATTGTATTATGCACCTCAAATTAATTCAGATAGTAATACAGAAAATAGTTCTACGGTATCTTCTCCAAGACCATCATCACCATCAAAGATGAAAAAAAGAAAGTCTAGAAACTAATATTTACTTTTTAATACTACTTAATAAACTTGACTTTATGTTCGATTTTCAATCTATTTTGATATATAAAATCTTCTAATGTATGCAAATATTTTATCAAAGTGTAGATTTAAAATATGCGAAAAGAAAATATTCAACGACTAATACTTTAACTAGATATTACATCCTGAAGTTGATGAATGGAATACGAAAATCCGATGTAGATCGTCAAATTACATAAGTTTTTAAATATAAAAATCTGTAATTACGGTACGCCTTGTGAGTATTGCGTAAACATTATAGAACGTAAACTTTGTGACGAACTTTAATAAACCGTAAAACTTGCGATATTCTTCGACCCGAAGTATTTCGCAAACATTACGATTAGTAAATAGTGCGAAGTACTACGCCCATAGGTTTTCGCAAATATTACGATTAGTAAATATTGCGAAGTACTACGCCCGTAGGTTTTCGCAAATATTATGATTAGTATATATTGCGAAGTACTACGTCAGTAGGGTTTCGAAAATATTACGATTAGTAAATATTGCGAAGTACTACGCCAGTAGAGTTTCGCAAATATTACGATTAGTAAATATTGCGAAGTATTACGCTAAAAACATAAATATTACGTAACCTTACGCCGTAATATTTGCATAAGTTTACAAATCGTAAATCTTACGCAATACTTCGCATTAAAAATATTCCTGATGTATATGCATTTTTTATATATGGTTAAATTATTTCAATCAAAAATAAGGTTATTATTACATAATCTGTAGCTCAGTAAATTTTTTTGAACTAACAATTACTATCCTAAACCTTCTTCTCAGCTGTGACTTTCTTTGTTGCTTATGAGGAATAGCTTTTTTTTCTTTTACTTCAATTATTTCAACTGAATCAGAATCTTTAGAAGACTCAGACAAATAGAAGGAACCCTTCATTCTTTTGACTCTTTTTTATCAATTATCAAGAGAACTATTTTATATATTATATTGACTACAGTTTTCTTTATCTATACTTTCATTTATATCTTCTAATTCAGTCTCTAAAGACTTTATATCTCTCTCTAATCTTTTTACTCTCTTTTTAAAATGTTGTGTTGAGAATGATAGTCTTTCAATTGTTTCTTCAGTACCCTATTTTTACCAGAAAGTGTACTATACACCTTTGCATTTTGCTTATCTAGTCTAAATATCTGGGCTAATATTTTTATATATTTGATAACTTCCTATTCTCTAGATACATCAGATAAATGATTTTGATTAATTATCATTTTTGCGATATTTTATATATCATATATCTATTTTTTTCTCAAATTTATTTGAAAAAAGAAACTCTATCAGATAAGATATTAGGATAAGTTACTTTAGTTAAAAAAATAGATTATCTTTTACAGATTAATAGATTAAGATAGGCAAAAAAATAAAATTTAATAAACAATGGAAAAATAAAATTAATAAACAGTATTTCACAATCTTAATAAAAGCCTTTAATATTCTATATGATTAGTTTTCATCAAAGTGCTTAATTATCTTTGTCTGATAATACAATTCTCCCCTTAACTGATAATTTACTATAATATAGTTTTTTGCAAGAAAGACATGGTTATTAAGTAAATGTTAAAGTAATTTACTGGTAATAGTCATAGCCTCTGATAAATTCTTTGCTATATAAGCCACAACTGTAAATACTGTCCCTAATTTGCATAAATAGCTTAGGAGTAGTAATTTATCACTTTCAGAAAAAAATTCATTTTTTTTCAAAATACACTTAAATATATAAATCTAGGCTTTTCAGGATCTCTTAACTGTCTAGAAGAAATTGCTTTCTGAATCTATATAAGCAATTATCTTGCCTACTTTTTATTCTTTTCTAATGATCTAAAAATCTGTACCTTTCTATTTTTTTGCATATTCAGTTACACTTCCATTAAATATACGCAAATTTTTAATTTCAGTAGAACGGATGCATAACATGATCATTACATTTGCTAAAACTTGTTTATCAGATATATTAGATACGTTATACTCATCTAATCTTTTTTTAACTGATTCTAATAAAAGTAATTCAAAAAATTGATCCTTTCATTTTTGCATTGCTCAGTACGCTTCTGTTGAATTTTATTAGATGCTTTGGTTATCTTTAGAATCTT